GAATACTTGGTCCTTATTTGTACTATGAGTATAAAAGCTCCTAGACCTGTAGATTCCAGAGTTTTACAGATAGATCTGGTATCTGAGAATCTATGAGTAGATGAATTCTTAAAGTAGTAACTAGGAGAAAAATTGAAGACTGGAATTGAACTTTGGAAAGCGCCCAGAAAGGCAAGAGAGAGAAAAGCAGAAGGAAAGCAGAAAGAGAGTGCGGTGGCCCGGTTTTAGGGTAGAGAGTAGTCCACAACCAGGGCCAAGAGAGCTGGTGAGTCCAAAGACTGCGACCCCAAGTAGACCTGGCTTTTGGGTGACGATTAGACCACATGTGGCATGCGGGGGCCAGGCCCCATCAGATCCCCAGAGCCAACTGTGCACATCTCCACATCACGTTGGGAGCTGGAGATTGGCCATGTGGTACTTACACCACAGAAGTTGGCGGATACTGCTAATCAGGGCTTTAAAAAAAATAATTGGTTGTAAACGCTTATCTCACAGAAGTCAGTGGGTTTCCATCGAGTAGTGCCTCCCCAGCTTTTGATATGGTGACCCAGCAAGCATAGTTCATAGTGGAAACACACACATTTGATACAGAGTTTTTAGAAATAGTACTTAACTTTGTCTGACGGATGCTTTCTGACTTCTGCCCTTCCATCCATTCTTAACTGTTTCATTAAAAAATAAAATTGGTATAACTCGCTAAACTGATTTCGTGACCTGCAGTTTGAAAAACATTGTTTTCGAGAAAATTAGAGGTTACAAGTGCATTACAAAGTCAGAAGACAGTCACTTTAAAAAATAATTAGAGTAGCAGTTGTAGACAGGATGATTTCATCTTGAAAGGTAGAAGAAAAGAGACCTAGAAGACTGAGTAGGAGACAACAGACAAGTAGAGCAGAGAGAAGCCGGCTGGCTCAGAGACGGTGGGGGCTGCCGAGAGCCGGGGTTGTGTGCTGGCACTAGGAGACTAGGGGGCTTGTGTTTGGTTCCTGAGAGCTTGTTTTAGAGAATATCACCTGTTCTGGAAGCTTGAGGAATGAAACCGGAAACCTCAGGAAAAAGCAAAAAAAAAATCACCTGCCCTTGGTATTTTAAATGGCTTTTATTTAGCTAGCTGGAAATGCACTTTCTCAGAGCCAGTGTCACTCCTGCAAATTGAAAGCAGTCACACACCTTACCGAAGGTCACGCAGCTTCTAAACAGCAAATTGGGCCTTGGACCCTGGTGCTGCCCCTTGTTGCCAAGCTCTTTGTCCACACTTGCCTGCAGAGTAGAGTACAAAGGGGAAGGTGCCTGGCCTTGTGGGGTCAAGCTAGCCAGGTCGGGAGCAAGCTCATACTAGGCCTGGCCAATCACTCCTGCGCTCTTTGTGGCCTGAAGCAGATTTGACAGTTATCTGTTATTTATTTAGTTTTGTAGATACGGAGTCTCACTCTGTCATCCAGGCTGGAGTGCATTGCAGCCTTGAACTCCCGGGCTCAAGTGATTCTCCCGGCTCTGCCTCCTGAGTAGCTGGGACTACAGGTGTGTGCTGCCATACCTGGCTGATTTTTAAGATTTTTTTGTAGAGATGGGTCTTGCAGTGTGGCTCAGGCTAGTCTCAAATTCCTGGCCTCAAGTGATCCTCCTGCCTAAGCCCCTCGTTACCTGTTATTTAATGAGGGGCTAGTCCAAGTGAATGCGTCCCCAAACTCTGACTGACCTGTGCTGACCAAATTGAATGGAGTCACTAAGTTAGTGTGCCTAGTGTTTGCTTTGAGAACAGTCTGGAGTCCGAGGACTGACTGAATAGCGACTCCTCACATGGAAGAATCCTGGAGGGACAGCAAGGTGGTTTGGGGCGGAAGCTGAGGGACCAGAAAGGTGGCAACAGGTTTAAAGACCTGGACAGCCTCTGGGGAGTTACGAGGTGAGAATGAAGGGACAGCACCAGGGTCCAAGGCCCAGTGCCATGTCAGGGCTCCCCTGGGTTGGAGTTTCTCCCCTTAGCACCTCAGGTGCAGGCCAGGGAAGCTGGTGTTCATCAGCGATTGCAATTGGCTGAGGGGACTCTGGGGGAAGAGGTGGGTGTTTGCTGTGTCTGAAGTCAAGAGGGTGCAGAAATGAGCAGAAGTCAGTCAGGGTTGGGTCAGTCCCCACACTCTTGACTGAATGCTTGAGTTTTGCTTTGCCTGGTTTTGCGTAGGTGGGATTGTGGATTGCAAATGGTCTCATGTGCACCTGACATTCTGCTGTTCATGTTGCCCGGTGGACCTCATCTTTTTTTTTAATGAGAAGCTTTCTATTTTTCATCTCGTGATGTCGTAGATAATAGAAAGGAAATTTGTATATAATCTTGTGTGTTATTTCTATAAATCGCCCCTTATACACAGGTATGTCAGATGCTGTCCAAGAGAATCTGTTTCATAGGGTAATTTTCACTAATGAATCCAGACCTCTAATGTTAAATTTTGCCCCAAACTGCCTCGAATGAATTGGAGGAAGACAGTTGCAGTCAACTTGACAATTCTTAGAGATTCAAAAGAGGATGCTATAATAGCGTTTCATAACAGATGCAGAGACTCTGTAGTTCTGAATATTAATTCCAACCCCATCAAAAAATATTTATTAGATGGAAAGGCATACTTTTGATATTTGAATTTAAGAGGACTTTCAGTATTTCCTGATGTCACCATCAATAATTGGAATCTGCATTTCCTCCTTTATTCATTCAATAAATATTTAACACCCATTGTGTTCATGGCATCGCGTTGGACTCTGGGGGTGTTACAAAGAACCTAGAAGACTGGACTCTACCCTCCAGGGGGAAATAAAAGAAACAATTACATCTAATTGTTTTTTAACACCGAGCAGCATTAATCCCAGCTCCTGAGCAGGTGGTCACCAGGGGAGAAGGGGCCAAGGAAGCTCCTCCAACGTCCAGTTCCACAGGACCTCTCAACCTGCTTCCTTCCTCAGCCGAGCCCTTGGGCCTTTCTCTTCTGGTTCTGTCCTTGCATGTCCTGGGGGTTTATTAGGTCTTTGAGTTTCAGGCCCATGGGGCAGTCCCTCTGGCCACTGAGGTTTATCCTCTGACATGCTGTGATTTGATTAAGTGCGGCTTATGTGTCTTCTGGATTTTCCTGTAGTGCTAGGACAGACTGCTCACTTTAACACAGGACTATGGCCTCCTAAAACATGGTGTTCACAGGCTAAAATGAGCAGTTACGAACATTTCCTGAGAGCCTCTCTGTCAGCTTTCTGCCTGCACCGTTGCAGAGCTGCTGCAGGACTCATGCACTTGTAGCTGCCTGCAGTCACCTGACCATGGGTGACCGAGGAAGGCAAGCCAGGGTCTTCACGTGTTCGACACAGGGCCGGCGCTCGGTAAGCGTGCGTTGATCCAGCGCATGAGTCATGGTGGAAGTGCGTGAGGGCTGTGAGCTTATACCACTATCCAGGAAAGGGTCAAAGTTTCCGGAAGAGGGTGTTTGTTACTTGTAGAAGTTTGGTGGGCTGGGAAGCTTTGAAGAGACCCTTGAAGACCCTCATACTGACATTCTGGGTGCTGTGCATGATAGAGACCACGGGCAGATGGTCACTCATGAATTTGTTGAACAGACTTTTATTGTAGCACTTGTGTACATAGCATGAGTTGGGGATACCTCAGAAGCCCACCGGGCAGTGCTTCTGGAACGTCTGTACACTGGAATTACCTGAGGAATCTCTTAGAAGTTCCTAAGTCCAAGTAGCACCCCAGACCATCACCTACTCCAGACATGGGGCACGGATCCTTGTCTTTTGGTAGCTCTTTGGGGTATTCCAGTATGCAGACAAGTTTGCAAGTCACTTTGAGTTTATAATATAGTTTTAGATATCACACCCAGAAAATTCAGTCATGATACAAGACGGCCACACAGGAAGCTCATCACAGGCAGGGTGAGGGCTTCAAACCCAAATCTGTGAGCTGTGAGCATCACTCACTCCCTCTCAAGGAGGAATGTACTAGTGGTTCAGGGAGTAGGAACATTTCACCAGACTGGGCCTGGGAAATGGGCCAGCTTTGACAGGTTCAGGAGTGAGAGGAAGGTACACCCCAGCATGACCCCGGGATCATTATTTGGGGCACGACTGGTGGAATGAACCAGCATATCAAGAACTTGACTTGCCGGGCTCAGTGGCTCAGCCTGTCATTCCGTGCCTTTGGGAGGCTGAGGTGAGTGGATTGCCTGAGCCCGCGGGTTCGAGACCCGCCCGGGCAACTTGGCGAGACCTCATCTCTACAATAAATCAAAAAATCAGCCGGGCGTAGTAGTGCATGCCTGTAATTCCGGCTCCTTGGAAGGCTGAGGCGGAAGGATCGCCAGAGCCCAGCAGGTCGAGGCTGGCCACTGCACTCCAGTCTGGGCAACAGAGTGAGACTCCAACTCAAAAAAAAAAAAAAAAAAAGAACTTGACTTGCTGTTGCCATTGAGTAGGATAAGTGTTGTTCTTATGAAAGACAAACCGCTGGTTATCTATCTGCTGGTGTTTTTCCTTGTGTGTACGTGGGTGAAGAGGATGAGGTGAAGCAGATACCTCAGGACAGAAATGTTCAGCTTCTTCACTTCTCCATTCTCTTGCTCTTGAAATGTCTCCCTGCCCTCTTAACGGTCTCAGTGAACATCCCTGTGTGTGCATATCAACACACAAATGAGCCATTTTATGTGGCGATTCAGCACCCCAGGGTCTTGTGGAGCCATGAGCTATATAGCCAGCTTAGGAGGGTGAAGGCACTTGACCTTGGCCCCTCCTAGCTGCTCCAGCTACTTACAGACTGAGGGCTGCCATGAACGGTTGCGCCTCTAATCGCCGGTCAGGCAGGCTGTGTGGGTCTCGCTTGGTATTCTCAGTACTTGCTGTTTCAAATCAATTTTTTTAAATTGAGTCTGTTATATGTTATTTCAGGAGGGGGAAAGGAATGCTTTGACACTTAGTAAATTCTTCATGAGCTGCAGCCCAAGTTTTTCTTTCTCTTTCCAACCCACAGTGTGCCACGCCGAGATGAATGCCATCATGAACAAAAATTCGGCCGACGTGAAAGGCTGCAGCATATATGTCGCCTTGTTCCCGTGTAATGAATGCGCGAAGCTCATCATCCAGGCAGGTAGGAGCCAGCCTTTCCATTTGTCACATTTGCATTGCTGCCTGCTCATCAGCAGCTCTGTGCAGATGTGTTTGATCTTAAGCCGCTATTGTTTAGATCGAAATTAATTGCACTATCAACTTTGCAAGATATTTTCCGTGTTGTGTTTTTGAATGGTGCCAGGTATTCTAAGACTAATTGCATCCACTGTGATTCTTAGCATGTTTTTAATTTAGTGTGCAACTTCTTAAACTGCAAGCTGCCAAAAAACAACACAGGCATTGCATATAATTACTGTCAATTTACTATTCTCTGACATATTGTGCATAGATTAGGGGGGAGGGAGAGAAATGAACTTCTGTCAGAAACAAGGTCAGCTGGGAGTCTGTATATGAAATTTTAATTTTTATCTAATACGTGCGGATATTTGAGGATCTAAACATATTTTTGCATATAAATATCATGACTTAAATAGTACTACTTTAAGTTTTTCTTATATTACAGTTACCATAAATCTGCACCATTGTATTCTGAATATTTCACCTTCTTCAAACTGTCACATCTAAGATTCAGCCACACTTTATCTCCATAAAACTCACGGCTGGAGATTTAAAGACTTATCATGTTTAGCCAGACGTGTGGTTTAAAGGGGCTGTTTATCACGAGCCCCTGGATCTCAGAGCAGAAGAGTTCTGCTAGGATTGAATCAAAAGCCGCTGTTAAGGAATAGCGTGGGTTCCCTCCTTGTTGCTGCCACAGAATGCGTGGGAAGTTTCCCTCGTGGTCCTTGGGTGTCAAGGCAATGGCAGACATGTGGGTAGGGTAGTGCATATTCTACACAGCAAAGGAGCAGCCTTCAGGGGAGGGCCTTCAGGATTCCTGGCCCTGAGCGACCGCTACCTGGTGAGATCAGGAGAAAACAGATGTGCCCTCCCTAGAGCTGGCAGAGATGGACCGCAGCCGGGAAGCACAGTGATACTTGCCTCTGAATTGGCAGCGCCCGCTACTCCTCCCATGAGTGCCCCTTCATTAAAAGTTGTTGCCTTGCGAATAAAGCATATTTGATTACCTGTAGTAAAGAAAATGTGTTCACCGGATCAGGGCTTGACTACTTGGTATGTTTTCCCTTTGCATTTGTTAAAAACAATTCATATAGACTGGAGGGCAGATTAAACATAATCCGCCCTCTGCTGTATGAGAGAGCAGCAGATATGTTTTCCAGCAACGACGCTGTCTGTAAGCACACTCGGAAAAAGGCCCTTAATCACAGACGCTGCCGGGCTCTGACTGCTTCTGCGTGGCTTTGCAGTATCTGTATGTGCACATACTGAGGGGCTCCGTGGTGACCTTATAGGTATCAAAGAAGTCATTTTCATGTCTGATAAGTACCATGACAGTGATGAGACCACAGCTGCAAGGGTCCTGTTCGATATGGCTGGAGTTGCTTTCAGGTAAGAAGAGACGCTGGGGCGGTGGGGGAGGATGTGTAAAGGACTGATTTCCCCTTATGGTGCCTGACTTCCACCTTTGGAGGTGTCTTTGGAGAGGTGAAGGTATAAGAATCTAAAGATCATTTTAGGGGGAGATTTTTAAGAACAGTGACAAGAGTATCTGAAGACAATTGGTTTCATGATTGTACTTTAATATCAATAAATTTCCAGGGCTTGGACCCATTATTCACATAGCTAGAAAGTTAAAAATTCACAAGTTTTATAATAGTAGCCCCAAACCTTTGTAAATTTTGCAAATGTAACAACTCTAGCATGGAAACTTTAGTATGAAAGTAACCTGCCAGATTGAAACACCAGGAATTCCTCTTACAGCAACATTTTAAATTGAGATTTGAAGTCTTATGGATTTTTATTATCTTTGCTAAGCAGAAATCGTGAGGTACATTTTATTTGCAAGTAAGTTCAACCACCTTTGATTCATGGCAGAAAATTCCTTTGGGACTGTAAAGCGTTACAGAACCTTCCAACACTGGTGGTCAGCAGCAGTGAGCCTGTTTTTATTGGTGGCCTGGCCCTGTGTTTGTCATTAGGAGTATAGGTTATATGTCACAATCATGTGAACTCAATTGTTGTGCTTTGTGAGACTTTAAATCCAAAGTATTGACATACTCTGTTTATAAGAATAATAATAATTGTTGTTGTTGTTATTATTATTGTTTGAATCTGGGTCTCTGTCACCTGACTCACTGCAGCCTCCACCTCTCCTCCTGGGCTTAGGTGATCCTTCCACTTCAGCCTTCCACCTAGCTGGGACTATAGGCTCATACCACCATGCTTGGCTAATTTTTAAAAAATTTTTGGTAAAAACCAGGTCTTGCTGTGTTGCCCAGGCTGGCCTCAAACTCCTGAACTCAAGCAATTCTCCCACCTCAGCCTCCTGTCAAAGTGCTGGGATTACAGGCGTGAGCCACTGTGCCCAGCCAGAGATTCTTAAAGGGAAAATGTTTAGGCCTCAAATACTTTTTTTTAAAATGTTGTAGGAATAATGAGTGAAAAGGTTATTAATTTTTAATATTTATTTATTTATTTAGAAATGGGGTCTCACTGTTGCCCAGGCTGGAGTGCAGTGGCACTATCGTAGCTCATTACAACCTTGAACTCCTGGGCTCAAGGGATCCTCCCACCTCAGCTTCTCAAGTAACTGGGATTACAGGCGTGTGCCATGATGCCCGACTAATTAAAAGCAATTTTTTTTTGTAGAGATGGGGGTCTCTCTCTGTTGTCTAGGCTGGTCTTGAACCTTCTGTCCTGAGCTCTCAAAACACTGACGTTGCAGTCATGAACCATCGCACCTGGCCAAGAGTGAAAAGTTAATGAGTAAAAAAAATATAGTGGCTTTATTGTACATTTGCACTCTTAGGACATCATTTTTAAAATTACCCCTCACTGAAGCTAGTTGGTTTTTGCTATGTATACAAGGCAAAGGAAAATTCACGATTTTTTGCATTAGAGCACCTTTAAATTGACTGCAGAAATTTCCTAGAAAATAAGATAAATCTGATGAGAAAACTAGTAATCAGATGTCATGTTGTGCAGCTAACTTGTTAGCAATCCTTTGACTCCCCAATCATTCATGAACCCAGATAGCTGAAGATCATATAAGCCATGCTGCCCCACGTGTCTTTTTTTGTCTTAGTCGTTTCTGGTCCATGTTTTTCTCGGTATGGGGCCCTATAATTGGCTCCTAGAGAGATACAATATCAAGCAAATCCCAGGACATTTTTTTCCTCTACAGAGAAAATATAAATTAAGCCAAAGTAAACAAATTGCTTTAACTGCTCACTGGATAATATCTTTATATATTTTGTTTTGTTTTGTTTTGTTTGTTTAGGAAATTCACACCAAAGTGCAGCAAGATTGTCATTGACTTTGATTCAATTAACAGCAGACCGAGTCAAAAGCTTCAGTGAGTTACATCTCATTAAATCTCCAGAAGATTGGGATTATCCTCTTCTAAGAAGCTGCTAATGCCTTTCATCTTGAAGTTACACATAACTTTTTAATAGCCAGTTCAGCAAAGTAGACATCTAAAGAATATAAAGCCTCAAATCTCTCCTGCTGTCTCTCCTGTCACATGGAATCTACATCTGTTTGAACTATTGATTTCGGGTTTAAAATAAGGGAACCTGTGGTGGCCTGGCACACAGGGCAGGCACGAGAAGCCTCCTCCACTTGTGTCCCGGCTTGCCCAGTGCTGGTGGCTCTGCAGAGGGGTGTCGCTCTCTACTGCTCCATGTGCTGGAATGACAAATAAATAATTGTTGTTGTGTTCTTAGCGGGGATGAGCAGACACACTGATTTGAACATCTGGCCCAAACGAAGCATGACGTGTATTGCCCTTGGAAAAAATTCAGGACTCAAATGACAGTAGCATTAAAGTATCTGCCGCAGAGTCGAGGGAAGCTCCCACCCATCCAGAAAACTTGAGACAGGGTGGCACATCTGTCCTGACAGATGATAAGCATAACAGGACCAGGAATATTTCCCCTGTTCCTGCCATCCTGCTGCACATGGGGTAGAGGCACATTATCCCTCTGGGAGTGGGAACTCCTATTGTTTTGGCTGGTTTTTGCTCTGTTGGTCACATGGGGCTCTTCCGTTTTGTTTTTCTGAATAATGACTTGTTCCCGGAGGAGACAACCTGTCTCCCCTTGGTGCCCCCCTAAGATCATGTCCTGCCGCAGTGGCAGCTGGTTGTGTGGATGGGAGGGTGCCCTCACATGGTTGTGTGGCCTCTCCTCCACATGCCAACGTGGTTCACTGCAAACAGAGTAAATGAGTTCCTATCCTGGAAGTGACTTGTGAGGAATTTCGCCCACCTGGAGGCGGTTTATTGCAGAGCTATTGGTGACTGGAGCTCATTTGTGCCCTGGCACTGGGCCTCTAGCTACACAAATATCACCTTCCTAATCACTGGGAGTGTGGAACGCGGCTGCGCCCCTTGTCTTTAATCTCATTTAATTTTTATTAAACACGCTTGGTACCTTTGTTGAGAAAAGCCTTCTCTATCCTAAAGATTATTACCTTTTTAAAGTGCTCTTATATTTTCATGAGTTTTTATTTTGTCTCTGAGGTTTTGTACTCCACATTCAGGGCATTTTGTAATTTGGCTTCTTACCAATATTAATAAAATCTTATTAAAATCTACCCTGCCGAAGCATGTTCATTTCATGTTATTATATGCTTAACTCTCCATTTCTGTCCTTTCTGTATTGTCTGTGGAGCACATTGCACACATTTTAATGCCCAAAGAACAATTTGAGATGCTAAAGCTGTTGCTTTCCCCTGGAGTTGCTGGGTGGTGCTTCCGAACAGACCAGATTTAGGATGTGAAGAAGGGCTCTCTTCTCCTTGGCACCTCACTCCAGGTAGGCCTCTGTCCTCCTCCCTCCCAGAAGGCTCCAGTCTCACATTCCATTGTCTGTTGACCTCTCACCTTATTCTCTGTCTCTTCTTTTCTGTCCTTAATTTCTTCCTCTTTTCATCTTCAAGCCCCTTGCCCTCTGTTTGCCCCCAAATGCATGAAACAAAAGGTGTATGGAAGAAAGAAATCAGTAATGGGACTTAAAGATAGAGCATGTATGATTTTATGTTGCTTAAGTCATGAGTTGTGAACCCTATTAGCAAGGAGTGTGCGATTTCTGTCATGTCACATTCATACATTTGTCTAGAGGCTCACAAGCCAGTGGTGCATCTAATTTTGGAGCTCTCATATTTTGTCTGGTTGTTGCAATGAGTTTTAGTGGGGAAACTTTTCTTTTCAGGGGGAGGCTGACAGGGAGGGCTCTTTGCTAGGAGGGAGGACAGGTCCTGACAGTGTGTGGGAGGGTTGTTTATAGGATACTACCGCTGGAGAATGCAGGGCTTCCCCCTGTGCATGGTGTTGCTGACCCTGGATTCCTATGACTGGAGTGTAAGCAATTATGTCTTCGTTTCTGGTATGACTACCAGAGCAGTGGAGCTGTCCTTCCAGAGAATTCTGCAGATGTCAGTGTTCCAGTTAATAGAGGTTTGCTTTGAACTGTTGCCTTGGGGAGAAGCATTCCAGAAGGAAGGAGTTTTGTGCAGTCTTTTGCCTCCCAGGCATTACTAGATAATTGTGGTGAAGGGAGACTGTATCTGAGGGAAGTGTTGCTGCCTGTCATGGCTAATCAATGACAATAAGGAAACCATCTTTCACTGAAGCGTCGCTGGAAGGGCCGCATTTTAAAGGCAAAATTTGTGAGTGAAATGATAGGAACTCCATTTCCCTGACACAGTCTGTGCTTTTCTTCCTTTTTTCTTTTTCAGCGGTCTGTCCGTAAAGACTTCTGAAACCCAACAAGACCCAGCAATGAAAGTGACCTCATATGTTAGCCATCTTTTTCTAAATTAAAAATGAAGCAAAGTAAGAGAAAAAGCATAAAAACTGAGACACGGTCATGAATAAAAACGTAAGCTTGTGTGCCTAGTGATCTTAGGCTCCTGTGGACCAGGTGAAATTGTTCATCTTCCAGTGTCCATGTCTACCTGAAGAGTAAAAATATTCAGGTTGGAGGATAGATTGTTGCAGAGGGCCCCAGGAATGCAGGGAGGTAGTTTCCTTGTTGGTGACACTGGCAAGGAGTTTGAGTATTTACAGTTCACTTTTTTCTTTTGTTAAAGTAAGGCTACCCCGAAAACGGTAGTGTCCATAGGTCCCTAACCAGGAGGCCTAGCTAGAACTCAGTGGAGGAACCAGAACTCAAGGAGGTGGGGGGTAGCGGGGGTGCTCTGCAAGCGTCTCTTGCCAGGGAACCACAATGGCTAGAGCCACAGGCCAACCACAGAAGTACAGGAAAATAACCCTGGGCCCCAGGGATCATGTTTAGAATGAGGGCAACCCAGAATCTGTCTGTCTTTCAGGACTGTTGGAGGGATCTGAAACCATTTTATCATGAAAGTACACAAATCTCCACACATCTATTGAGTACCCACCGTGCATTGGGTTCTCTGATGGCTCCCAGGTGGGGGTTAGAATAGGTGTAGATGGCTAGATATTAGACATGTTAGGTGAAGCCCAACCCCTTTGTTAGGTAAGTTACGCTCTCCACGTACCTGAACCATGCAGGCACAACCTGTATTTGCTTTCTCTGTGAGGCACTTGTTTACTTTCTGTGTCTACATCATTCGAGTAAGACCCGTGAGGGACAAGCAGGGGCTAGAAGTGAAGTCTGCGAGAGGCCGGTTCTTACTCCATTCCTAGGCCAGAGACTTTAAAAGATTATAAAAGTCCTTCATTAAATTAAAACGAGTTCAGTATCTCCCAAGAAAACTAGGGTATGGGTTCCATGTTGATGAAAAAAAGTATACCGTCTGCTCACCACGCAGGAGTGGGATGCCTGCTTGGAGCCCGTGGTTCCCACAGGCCTAGGGTCTGGAAAGAGATATGCTCTTATTTTTGGGGGAGCCAATCGCCAAATCTCTTGAGCCGCTGTCCACACCTTCACTTGCCTGCTGGCATTCTTACACTTTTAAGCCCAGGGATGTTAACGATGTACATATTGTGTAGCCGTCGTTGCCGTCCGTCTCCAGAATGCGGCATCTGGCCACACTGGAACTCGGTATCCATTACACGCTGGCTCCCTCTTTCCCTCCCAGCACCTGGAACCACCATTCTGCTTTCTGTATGACCGCTCCACGTACATTACGTAAGTGGAATCATATCGGATCTTCTCCTTGTGCCTGGCTATTTCACCCGGCACGGTGCTTTCAAGGTGCATCCATGTTGTAGCATGTCAGGATTTCCTTCCTTCTGAAGACTGAAGAATGTGCTGCCATGTGCACACGCCACATCTTGGCTCACCATTCATTCCTGATGGACACACGGACCACGCCCGCCTCTTGGCTGCCATCCTCCTGAATGTACAGTGCTCTTTTTTTTTTTAAAGCTAACGTTGTTTTTCCTTTTTCTTTTTTGGAAACAGGGACTCACTGTGTCCCCTAAGCTGGAATACAGTTGCACAATCACAGTTCACTACATCCTTGAACTCCTGGGCTCAAGAGGTCCTCTGGCCTCAGCTTTCCAAGTAGCTGAAACTACAGGGGTATGCAATCATGCCTGGCTAATTTTTAAGTTTTCTGTAGAGCCAGAGTCTCACGCTGTTGTCCAGGCTGGTCTCGAACTCCTAGACTCAAGCGATCCTCCCAGCTCGGCCTCCCAAAGTGCTGGGATTATAGGCACGAACCACCACAGCCAGCCTAAAAGCAGCATTTGACAGAGGCTCTTCTTGTGCTGCCTTAGATCTCTCACCTGTTTCCGTGTGTCATTCAAGACTGAGCTGGAATCCTGCCTTCTCTAAAATCTCCCCAGACCTTCCTGAGCTTAAAGTAAGGTTCCTGCAGTGGCTATTGTCAACAACAGTTTTTTTGGCAATGAATCGTGCACTGTTTTATGACACCTACTGTCTAGAACTGTTTTCGATAACAGTTAACTTTTCACAGTTATCTCTTCCTGCTTTAACCAGATTATAAATACAAGATGCAGGTGGTGTCTTGTGTGTCTTTGTGACCAGCTACCTCCCAGCTTCCCTAAGGCTGCATAGCACCTTCTACAGAGGGGCTTCAGACACATTAATATTTCCACTGAAAAGTTACGAACCTGATTGAACTTTAATTCAGTGAAGTAGCCGAGCAGGAGCCAACTTCCTAAATTATTTTTTCCATGCCGATTTCCTTGCAAATGGCTGGAAAAAAAATTGTCAAATAGAATGTAAGAGGAAGAAATCTTCCTGTTGGCACCCAGGGTTAATGGGCACATTTATCTCGGGGAGAGAAGGAAGATTACTATTTAAATGTCTTATTTTTAACTTCTGCATTTCAGTTAAAGCATTCTTATATATGGTTTTGAATTGGGAATTTGGCAGTAACGGACACTCTTGGCAGAAGACCCTGGGATGATGTTTCCACTGAAACCCGTTTTATGAGGGAATGTCTTGACCTTCTCAGGTTTTAAATCACTGTAGACTGCTTACTGTTGTAAGAGTTATTTATTCTAACTTTGTTAATAAAGACTGTTACATGGTGGTATTGTTAAACATGCAAGGTGTCATTTGGCCTGTTTTAACTGGGCATTCTGTTTTGGAGTTGCTTCCTCTGCACAGGGGTATGTGGTATGCACCCTTTGTCCCTTCCCTCTGTTTTTCCTTCTCTCAACACAGGGTCTTGCTCTGTTACCCGGGTTAGAGTGTAGTGGTGTGATCGTAGCCACCATGCCTAGCTAACTTTATTCTTTTTTTTTGTAGAGACAAGGTCTCGCTATGTTGCCCAGGCTTGTCTCGAACGCCTGGCCTCAAGTCATCCTCCCCCCTTGACCTCCTAAGGGTTACAGGCGTAAGCCACCTTACCCACCCCACATGTGCAGCCTTTTGGTTTATTCTATCCTTTATTTCCTGAATAAGCAGGCATCCGTTAGTAATGTGTGCCACTGTAAGTAACAGACACCTGATGCTCAGTAGTTAAACAAATACTATATTTTTCTCACATAATAAAAGCACAGCGGTAAGCATTTGCTGGAGTTAGTTCAGCTGCTCAGTGATAGCCCCAAAGATTTAGGCTTTTTTCTTTATTTATATTTGGCTGTCTTTCCTCCTGTCTTTGAGCTTGTTTTGATAATCTCCAGGCATCTCATTCCCATTCAATACAAGAAGAAGGAGATGGGAGGTGGAAGGGGATACGATTTCTCCCCTCTTGCCTGTCCCTTTGATCAGGAAAGCAGAGCCTTCCCAGAAGCCCCAGCACATATTTTCTTCCCTCTCTTTGGCTGCAGCTGGCTCACATGGCCACCCCTAGCTGCAAGGGAAGCTGGCAGGGTACTTGGCATTCCAAGTTCTGTAGCAGAGGCTTCAGGAGAAAAGGAGGTTAGCAACTGCTGTGACTACTGCTGTCAGGCACAACACACCCCTTGCTTGGAAAATTGGGTAACAGTCAAGTTATGTAATTTATTTTCAGTGGCTCCTCCCATCCTCAGTGTTAAAGTGTTTGCTGAGTTGAAAAATGATACTTGCTTCACAGGAATTTGGTGACCCTCACATTGACTTTCAAACTCCTGTGTAAAAAAATCTTAGTTGGTCAGAGCTGTAAAAGACACACACACACACACACCCGGCCATTTGAGTGTCAGTTACATC